TTTCAGCTACTGACTGAGTTACTAGATATGGCTGCTATGAGTATGGCTAACATTTGGAAGATTATCTGCAATTCTTCCCTAATCCTTCTACTACCCTTGTGGCTACTGAGTCAAACGGCGAAGCGGAGGTGAGACGTCTGACTTCGTCCTGCGATCTACCCTCCATCGACATAGTCGCGAAGTGAAACTTCACGTTGAGTAGCGGTCATGGAGAGCCGGGCGCGCCGCTACCTTTGGTGGGTGAGCTTCCATCTTGGTCACTGCTGGCAAGCATTCACACAAGAGATGCAGAAGATTATCTAACAATTCTTCCCCTAATCCTTCTACTACCCTTGAACCCCTCCATACCGATCATCTTCTTCAGCTCCATGAGTCGAAGACGGCCGAGCGGCTTGGTGAGGACGTCCGCGAGTTGCCGACCAGTTTTGATGAACTCGATGACGATCTACCCTCCATCGACACAGTCCCTGAGGAAGTGAAACTTCACGTTGATGTGCTTGCTCCGGTCATGGAGAACCGGATTCTTCGCGAGGCGAGCTGTCGATGACGCGCGCGCGCCGATGGTTATCTACCATCGAGCTCTCCTTGGTGGGTGAGCTTCCACCTCGTGATCTTGGTCGGCGTCGCCAAGATGGCGCACGCTCGTGGGGGCTGCCAGTAGCCTATAGACCCACAACAAGCACCTTGTGCTGCTTTCCGTTGATGGCACCGGAGGTTGCCTACGAAGACCACTCCGCCAACTTCGCCGTTGAGGAAACGATTTAACGTCAAGTGATGCGTCCGAGCCAAAGCTAGTGGACTTGGCATCTTGGCGCAAAGGCTTGAACAAAGCCTCGAGCCACGAGGGGCGCCTTGTGTTTGTTCGTCGAGGTTGATAGCTTTTAGGGCCTTCTCAGGTCCTTCCACCGTCTTCACCTCTCCCTTCTCCTCGGCCTTAACGTCATGCGGGTGGTTCCTACGAGTAGCGGCTCTTGGAACATCGCCATCGGCGATGACGGTGGCCTCATCATCATCAGCTTACGCTAGATGAGCCTCAGCCTTCTTCTCCTACTTGCGATTTGGGCACTCCCGTGCCCAATGGCCCATCTTTCCGTAGCTTATAGTAGCGTGCGTTGGGGTCGACACGCTTCTTCTTCTCCGGAAGAAGCCTTGGACCTCCCGCTCCACTCTGACGCTTGCCATCGCCACCATGGCTGGATGAGGCTCGGCCCTCCCGAGTTCCTCGAGCAGCCCACCTCCTCCTCAAATCGGCCAACTTTTTACGGCTGTCGCCGTAGAACTGCGTTATCGCCTATTCTAGGCGCTCGTCTAGCGCCCGCAGATGGCCTGTCACATCCTCCATGGTGAGGGTGGACAAGTCCAGCATCGTCTCTATTGAGAGAGCGATCTGGATGTACTTTGTCGGCATAGAGTGGAGATACTTGGAGACCGCCTCCTCTTCATCGATGGTGACGCCGTGGCTCTTTAGCTTGCTGATGAGCGTTTACAGGCGGAGGGAGAAGTCCTCTACCGATTCACCATCCTTGAACTTGAGGTTGGCGTACTCTTGCTTTAGACAAGCTTCGCCGCCGTGCTCGATGTGGGGGTCGCCTTCTCTTTGGGTACGACCATAGAACCGCGCAACCGACGCTTCTACCGGTCAGCGGGTATCACCGCAATAGCCTCTCACGCCTCTCTTAGCGAGACTCTCTCTCGCCAAAGCGCGCTCTCCAACGGCTCCCTATACTCCGTTAGCGATGCTCCCCGTTCTAGCACAAAGCGGCGGCGAGGATAGCCTCGTCCTCAGCTCGAGATATGTCATCTTCTTTGTTTTCGGTGCCCTTGTCAACAGTTCGAGGTGGGCTTTCGCGAGCCGTCGGGTTACGAGCTTGACCTTCATGGTCACCGACCACTCGCCATAGTTCAGCGTCATGCGAACGGTGGCCTCATCATCCGGTCAACGCGATGTGCGGCCCGACCTCCCGCACCTTGCGCTCAATGACCCGTGGCGCTAAACGTGGGAGTCGTCCGCTTCTTCTTCTCCGAAGAAGCCTTGGGACGCTTGCCATCGCCTTCATCATGGATGCTAGAGTTCCTCCCATCACTATCTCCGAACCATCCGTCATCGCCTATTCTAGGTGTTAGGTCCTCGGCGACGCGGTGCTTGTCCGATCGTCTCTATTCGATACCACTTGTTGGTCCCTGCGGGATCACCGGCTCGGAGGTGAGTCGACCACTCACCGATCTTGCTTTAAAGCACGTCCGGAAACCACGACAACGCACGTCCGACCACGTAAGTGGGTGGAGGTAGAAGAAGGGAGGGAGAACAGTACACACTTGACCTTCATGGCACCACCACCGCCATAGTTGGCGAAGTCCTGTCGATAGGAGATGGCAAATCTGAACTTGCGAACTTGAGTTGCGGTGGCAAACTATATATACAACTCTATCCATCTAGTCATAGTATGATTGGTGCCATGATTTGCTACAATTACTAGCATTACGTCTTGACCCGACAAACATTGTAGTAAGTGGTACGAAGTAGAAAGAATGATGACAACGACAACGCTGTGACTTTGGGCTGACTACACACACGCCATTGGCCGGGCCTGTATAGGAGATGGCAAATCTGAACTTTGGCGGTGAGCAATTTGCCATGTTGCTCAATTACTAGATATGCTCCTGACTTTGGCTTTGCCGCTACTGCTGCTCTGCAGCGATGAGCCGTTCAGGAGGAGCCCTTTTCGAAGAGTGAGGAGCGCCGCCTTCACCTGCTGTGCACATTCACACAAGAGATGTGTAGAAGATTATCTAACAAGATTCAGTAATTCGATCACAGGCAGCCACACCTTTTCTTTTATGTCAATTTGTTTTGTTGTGAACTGTGGCATGCAGAACACACAGCAACTGAATGAGGCCAGCTATATAATCTTCCTGGTTGCTTCGTTCCCACAAGGAGTTTAATCTGAATTGAACGAATATAAAAAAAAAATTAAAAAGAAGTCATGGATCTCGCTAACTCTACCAACACATAGATAATATAAAAATAGAGTTATAATATATTTACGAGTAAATATTCATGTGGCTTACAATGAAAGAAAAAATCTATCAAGATTATATTTTAATTTGATACAAACTTAATAAAATATTGTCATATTATTGCCAATATCAATTTATACTATGGATGTTATGGTCATCATAAAATAAATTATATCTTTTTTTTTTTATAGAGGGAGTAAATTAAATAAATAGATATATAATATTCCATCCTCATTTTTTTATTAATATATTTCATAGCTCTTTTTCTCTCGTCGCAAGGCACGAACATATTTGCTAAAAAAAAGCTTGATATCCTCCACAGGTGACGTTGTGACCACCAAGACGTTCCGATCCTACACTGTGCTGCTTTTGATGTACAGCATTTGCAATTCTGCATGCACATTCACATCAAGCATCCTAGATTCCTACTACTAGTAGATTGTAGATAGATACTGTAACTCTTCAATTCTGCATGCACATTCACATCGAGCATCCTAGATTCCTACTACTAGTAGATTGTAGATAGATACTGTAACTCTTCAATTCTGCATGCACATTCACATCGAGCATCCTATTCAGCTCCAGCTCTGGTCAAGTTTCCACCGCTGCGTAAATCTGAATCTGCAGGTACCACCGACTACGGACGCGCGCTGGCTGGCCTTTGACTGAGTCAACGGACGTACCCGATTGCCTCCGATACAGGCGCAGCTCCTGACCGAAGCTGAACTATTCCGTCGAGACATTGCCGCTGGATCCGGGGACATACGTGGACTCTCGCAAGAAATGTAAATAACCGTACACGTAAATGCGATGGGCCGCCGGCTACTACTGCAGGAAAACGTACACCCCACTGAACACTGATGCATGGACTCCTCAGGCCTACGTTCTTTCCTTCTGCAACGGCTATGCCAAGACGTGCATTGGGGCTAGCTGTATGTGTTGTTCAGACGATAGATGCCACGCTGGATGATAATGCACTGTTTATATTTACTGTTTAGCACAGTACAAGCCTTCTCGCAGCGCCGGTAGTAATTTCCTCTATTTACTGTGGTTGATCATCAGGCTTCAGGCAGAGTACTAGTGGAGGTAGCAGCGCTCAATTCAAGACGCATATGCATGCGTTCCTCCACTACTGCAATCATAGTGCTAGCTGCAACGGGTTCTTCAAGTCTCCGGCAAGGCGGCAAGCAGTTTGCAAAATTTTGCGAGCAATGCATGATGGATCATTGGATCCCAACATCGCGCCTGGAGCCTGGACCTGTAATGAGTAGGCCTGCATATCTACTTCTTCTCCACTGAACGCGTTTCCATTGCAGCATCAGACATTTAGGCACGATTCCCTGCACATGCATGCCCGAATGCCTGATAGATGCTTCTGTTTCTTCTACTTCTCTTACATTGCAAGCAAGCATGTCTGTCTTTCTTCTCGATGAACCCTAGTATGAGGAGTGTATGTCAAGCCAGTGGTCGTAGCCGACATATATAAAAGTTGCCTCTAACTGCAGCCTAATTAACATTATATTCAGTTTAGTAGGGATCGCGTACAACTGTCGACTACCTGCCGGCTACCTAAGCAAACATTGCAAGACATCACCGGAATGGGCTCAGTGAGATGCAGTAAATAAAGTCTGATCTGTGTCTGATTCTTCTTTCATTCCGAACCAATCGTGCTCAATTAGCCCTTGATCAGGCTCAGGCCCTTCTAAACATTGCACTCATCAGCTTTCTAATTTCCACCAGTTAGCTAGGTAGAAGAACCACACACCAGCTCGATCCCCGGATATGTTTCAGCAGATAATAAGCTCCTGCGGGGCCCACCACCGCCCCTGGCCCCTGGCTAGTATATATAACCGCAAAGTGGTGGTGCAATCGAGTGCAGTAAAGCTAGCCATGCTGTAGTGGGATATCTCTCCATTCTACCGTGCCACCATTGCTGCAAAGAAGGTGAACATAAACAGGGAGCCAGAACTAGTGGTGTGTAGATGGACGCAGAACATCACTTGGAGATGGAGATCAAGGAGGAAGAAGGAGAGGAGGTGATGGAGATGACGACGGTGCCCTCTCCTCGGTTCAGGAGGATCTGCGTCTTCTGCGGAAGCAGCCAGGGGAAGAAGAAGAGCTACCAGGATGCTGCAGTCGAGCTCGGCGAGGAGCTGGTGCGTCTGCTTCTTTCTCCTCGTAATCTCGCTAGATAGTTGCATCAGCTTTCAGCATGTGTCTGTTACTGCTGAAATGGTTGTTTTTGCTGATCAACGGTAACATGGTTTTTCTTACTCTAGTAGTCTGCATGCAATAAGTTTTTCTTTAGCACGACCACGGGTGCCCATAAATGTTTATCTTGTTTTCTTTCTAGCTTGATTGCAATTTCTGTGGCAGCGCAGTTCTATGCCGTGCTTGCCTTAAAACTTAAAAGAAGATAGTACAACATACAGATACGTACAATAATCATGGGCATTAACCACGCATAGGTCGAGCTGTAGAGCTGAATTCCAGAGAAACCCTATTTCCAAAGGATGCATATATACAGCCGAGATACCTCATCACTCACTACTGCAAAGATGGCATATATATATGTGCACTGAAACTACTGCTTGACTTCTTCTTTTCAGAAATGACGAGTTTGAATTTGAATTTGAAATTTTGGAAGTTAAAATGGACTCACATAGTGCAATAAAATGCTTTTTGTTCATATATGTGAAGCACCTCACCATGTAATACCTTTCACATATAGGGACCCATGCATGCTCCCGTTGGCACCATCTCCTCACTCATATAATATTTTGACGCTCCACGCCTCCACCTCCACTAGTGATTATTTCCCATGCATTTGCTGAATTTTCTGTGCCATTGAAGAAAAGGATCTCGCTGACCACCAGCAAGCTCCTCCGTGCATGAACGAATTCATTGAATTAATTTTGAACATGTTTTCTGTTCTTGGCACATCCTCAGTTTCAGTTATCACCACTTCATGGCAATATGTATGGTTTGCAGATAAAATAAAGTATGTAAGATCACACAACATTGTAGCTAGCTACTATATAGATAACAGACTAGACATGCCCATCACGTTAACTAGTTCCATTAGATTTGTTTATCACTAGAATTACCATTATATTGTAGGTCTCAAGGAACATTGATCTGGTCTACGGCGGGGGAAGTGTCGGGCTAATGGGCCTGGTCTCTCGAGCAGTCTACAATGGAGGGAGGCACGTCATAGGGTATGTAAACAGCAATGATGCATGGTCAGTCTTCAGCACTAGCACACATAAAAAGAATAGCCTGAAGAAACTTTGTAAAATCATGACAAAAAGAGTTGGATTGGTCGCATCCTCAGGTGCTAAATGCTATATAATTTGTCATCTCATTGTCGATCAATTATATATGTGCAGGGTGATTCCCAAGACCCTCATGCCGAGAGAGGTACGGTAACCACGCTCTCACACCTCCCTAAAACCCTGTCATTGTTTAATCACATGCAATGATTCCCATGAATTCGACAAAGCATGGTAGATCAGATTCTTTTTTTGTTTTTCCTAGTACTTATACTATCTTTAATTAATTTTATAACTAATGTTTTAATATAAGAATACAAGTATATACTAGCCACGAACTAATGAACAACTGTTTTTGTTTTTTAACAAGAAATACAGAAGAATCAATTTACATGTGCAAATATATTTTTCTCTGAAGTGGAAAGAAGGATGCAAGCTTATCTTCTCTGGACTGAAAGATCACGTTGAATGTTCTTCAGTGAAAATCCGGTTTTCCTTTCCCTGATGATAGATGAGATCTTGGCATCTTGCTGATCCTGACTGCTGCTTCTAGTGTCTGTCCCTTTGTTCTTAAGGCCCTCATCCTTTAAGCAGATAATGACTTTGTTAACAAAAAGAAATGACCCTGACATTTTCTTTTTGTCCACCACAACAACACCATGATTACTTCTCCTGAACCATGCTGCCCGGTCCGACCCCGTCTAAAATAAAATACTCCTAGGAGATAGATAACAGGCCTCTCAGTCACAGCCACCCTTTCTGGTTGCTCCTGTTAGGCTATGGAGTGTTGATTACATTACAGGCATGCATCCGTGTTTGCTTGTGTGTGCAGATAACAGGTGAGACGGTTGGGGAGGTGAAGGCCGTGACAGATATGCATCAGAGGAAGGCTGAGATGGCCAGGCAATCTGATGCCTTCATAGCACTTCCAGGTACAGTAACTTCCTTTTTTTATCAAGCTGAGTAGTGAGCCGACATGTAGATGTAGCTCACTTTTTACTGTCGCTTTCTCTCCCTGGTCATGTCACACATATATACTGGATCCATGCGTAGTGGAAGCGTGAGTCGAAAGTTGTAAAGCAGGATGCACGCATGGGCAGTTTGACTCTAAATTCACCTCCCAGATTGGTTTGCCCAGTTGGTGTTGGTTGGTGCATGAGTTTTTTTTCACCTTTTGAAAATTCAGGGCCCTTTCTAGTCCTCATTTGAAGCCTATTTAATTTTGGGTAGTGATGAAATTTTATCCTACCAAACTTTTGATGTGACCAGTATTATGGCAGTTGTTTCAGTTATCCAGGTAGCAGTCGATATGAGCTCAGCATCACTAATCAGTTTTCATAGTTCTGAGTTTCTGTGATAGAAAGTAAACTGTTCCTTCGATTACACTACACAGGAGGCTATGGAACCCTTGAAGAGCTGCTGGAAGTGATCACATGGGCGCAGCTTGGCATTCACGACAAGCCGGTACTAGCTCTTCATTGTCTGCAACTCATTTACTAAAGATTCATGTTGTAGTGCGTACCACTGTCGTCACAAATGTTTTTACAACTGTACTGGGGCCTGGGGGTGCTACAACAGGTTGGGCTGCTAAATGTGGACGGGTACTACAACTCCCTCCTATCCTTTATCGACAAAGCTGTAGAGGAAGAGTTCATCAGCCCGACTGCTAGCCACATCATCGTCTTGGCCCCGACACCGAAAGAACTGCTCGACAAGTTAGAGGTGACTTATCCACTGACAAAACGTATGTAACGAGGGATAACACATTGAAAGCTGACATATCTGATCCTGATTCACAGGAGTATTCCCCCCGGCACGAGAAGGTGGTGCCGAAGATGAAGTGGGAGATGGAGCAGCTGAGCTACTGCAAGAGCTGCGAGATCCCGCCGGGGCTCAAAGAAGGGAAGCCGATCATCCAAGCACAGCGAGGAGCCATGCTCTGAATTAATGGTGTTAGCTATTACGTACTACTAGCCAGTAACCATTTAGGTTTCTCTGCAGACCTGCAAAATTAAAGTGGTGATGTAGGAAGATTCAGAACTTCAGATTATTTAGCAAGGGTGCTCAAGCAAAGCTGCAGAGAGAACCGCTCCACTTCAGATTGCTTTTAATTCCTGTAACTTGAGTAGAATGCGCCTAATGTTGGGATGTGTCGACTGATCAATCTAGTATTGGCAATATATCAGCTGTATTAATTCTGCAGTGTTAATTCGAATTTCTAGTAGCAAATGAGCTGTTACTGGATTATTACTGTGTCACTGAGGGGGCAGACGATAACCGCGTGCAGCCCTGAGGCATTGTTTTTGAGAAATCAAGAAAGTTTTTAGAAGGAAAATGTTTTCGGCCCGGTAGGCCCCTTTCGTGTCAGGAATTATTGGCCCAGTAGCTTCAGGTAACGTATAATGGGCCTGTTTCAGACGTCAATGTGCACAGAGATCGATGCACACAAACGAATCCTATTGTCAAAAAGAAAACTGACATATTATGGACAGTCTCGTGATAATTTTTAGATCCTACAAGATGAGTGGGCTCCTTTTAACGCGGTTGTAAATCCATGCAAACGTTAAGAAAAGCATAAATGCTACGTGATGCGTTCGAGGGACCGCACAAACGTCGCACGGTGTTTTCACCCCCGCCGCTTGCCCCCGCCCGTATGTATATTAAAAATTATCCCTTTGCTTCCTCGGCTTCCCATCCTTATCCCTTCCGCGCTCCTCATCCCCTGTCGCAGCGCACCAACAACCGGTGTCCTCCCCCACCCCGGCAAGATCCATCGCCGGGAGCCCCCAATGCCCGAAGATCCGACGGCCCTCTCCCCTACCCCGGCGAGATTCATGGAGCACGAGCGAGATCCACTCGCCTCCGGCGAGATCCATGGAGGTGGCGCGGTGGTGTTGCAGGAGACTAGGCGGCTCTCCCCCACCCTGGCACGGCGCCCTCCCCACCCTAACGGCACCCTCTCTCACCCTGGCGACCGAGCTCCCCAACCCTGGTGGCCATGGCGCTCCCACCCCCACGGCCCCACCCCCACCGTCGCCGCCGAGCCAAGCCCGGTGCCGGTGGCGCTGGTGGTGGTGGTGCTCGCGCACGCCGCTGGTGCTAGTGTTGGGTAGTGCTCGCGCGCAGCCGCTCGCTGCCGGCTCCCACCTCGTCGCCCGGAATCGACCGGCCCAGACCTCTCTCCCCCTATGTTGCAAATGTATGTTTCAGACGTTTCAGAGGCAAGTTGCAATTGTTTCATATGGATGTTGCAAAAGTAGATCGAGGATATTGCACATATTGCATATGCTGTAAGTATTTTTAGGCATGTTGCAAGCGTTTGTTCAAATTGTTTTATCTGTTTTCAAACGTATGTTGCAAGCGTTTTGATCCGGATGTTGCATATGCTTTCACAAATGTTGCAACAATATGTTTCAAAATGTTTCATCTATTTCAGTCTTTTGTTGCAACAAGTGTTTTTATCTTGCAAGTTGCAAGTGTTCAATCTGGATGTTTTATATGTTTTCACACATATGTTGCAAGTGTATATTCCAGATATTTCATCTGTTTTAAACATATGTTGCACTCAAGTGTTTCATGTTGCACATGTTTCCTGTTGTTCGGAGAGTCAGGGAGCGCCGGCGCTACTACAACAATTTTAACCGAGGCGGGCAAAACAGATTATCCGAGGCGGGCATCACAACCGCCCCGGCCCAAAGGTCATGATAAATCACTTTTTTACCGAGGCGATTGTCCTACCCGCCTCGGTAAATCGTTTTAAAAAGATAAAAAACTGAAAGCCCGCCGGCGAGCCTGTTTCGGAGCCCACTGACGAGCCCGCCTACTCCCCACGACCGCCACCGCCGCCACATCCCTCGCGCGCCGCCGATGCGAGCTAGATTCAGCGTCCCCGCACGCTGCCGACGCGAGCTGGATCCGGCGTCCCCGCGCAGAGCCGCCGCCAGATCCGGCGTTCCTGCGCTGTGCCATCACCGGAGGGAGGAGAGACGGGCTCCCCCGCGCTGCCACCGGGTCTGGCTGGGGGAGGAGGCCCAGTCTGCCGCGCCCCTCGCTCGCCCACCGTTGCTCCGCCATCATGCCCCCGACCAGATACGAGCGAGGGAGAGAGGCCGTTGGAGGAGGTCGCGCTGCCGCTCCGCCACCACATCCCATCGGGCCCCGCCTCTGAGCCCTCGCCGCCATGTGAGAAGAGAGGTGAGGGAGAGAAGAGAAAGAGGCCGCGAGCGGCGCTCGCTAAGGGTCGGGAGCGGCGGTGACAAGAGGTAAGATTGAGTGGACCGGGGAGCTAGAGTTTCGACCTGGGTTATATACTGTGACGGAGTTTTGGGCCGAGATGGGCTTCTAACTGGGCTCAGCCACATTAAGAGGCAAGCCTTCTAAGAGGTCCGCCTATGAAAATAGAGGTATTTTCGGAGGCGGGCCTCTATAAGGTCCGTCTGCGTTAATAGATTTTAGGAGGCGGTTTTCCTAAATCGATTTTGCGAGGCGGTTAATTATGATCGCCTCGGTTAATAAAAGCTAACGCCTCCGTAAATCGACAGGCATTAACCGAGGCGGGCAACCCGCCCGCCTCCGAGCCCCATTTGGAAACGCTGCCTGAAAGATTTTGTGTAGTAGTGCGGGGAATGGGGCGCGGCGAGCCGGTGGCCGGCGGACGTGGCGTGCGGCGCGCTGGGGGTTGGCGGTCAGGGGCACAACGGGGCGGGGGTGCGCCTACGGGGGCGGGGCGAACAGATGGGGATGGGGGCGGGACAAATGTCGGGTAAGCTTGTCAGGCATGCGGGTGGGCGGACGGACGTTCGCATGGTAGCATTTCCTTAACAAAAGTCGAGATTCAATACCATTTCCTTCGAGTAAAGGCGTGCTATTGAGAAAGACTGAAGCCTGAAGCGATGGTGTGCCGTGCCGAAACCTGAATTTTTCATTTCTGGGTGGTCCATGGCGCTAGGCCGGTGTCCGGTGTCCCTGTCGCAACGCGGTAGCGACACCGATTTTTTACTAGACGAAAGCAGCCGGCATCCTGACCGTCCGAGCCGATCCAACACCGATCGTAACGGGCCAGTGATCCCTTCCTCCCCGGCCCGCCACATCATCGTCAGGTGCCGTCAGACGAACGAGAATACGAGATCATGGCATCCGCGTGTCGCTCGCCGTCGCACCCGACGACCGCCCGGGCCCGGCCGGCAGGGACCGGGAGCAGAAAGTCGACAGGGCCTCGTGAGGCTGCGATCACGATCCATGCCGCCGCGACCCCTGGGCCCAGCTGGCGAACGCGAAGCCGTCGAGGCCACGCCGCTGGGCTGCAACGGAAGGCAACCCCTGAACTACGGACGTCGGTTTCTAATCAACCGGAGCTCTGGCGACTGGCGGGCGGACGGACGGGAGATCCGCCTGAATACCGCTGGGCTGCACGGGGATGGCGTGGGATAGCTTTGGGTTTGCCTGCCGTGTGTTGCCGTCGCCTTCTCCGTTTATTAATGGGTGATCGTCTGCGAGCTGATGCGATGATAGTTTGGGCCAGAGCACGAACATTAGTTTCCAAAAAGCAATCGACCGCAAAAAATTGAAACGGCAATCTATATCTATACTGCATGTCTATATAAATAAATCTTATATTTTTCCAAAGTAGCTTGGAAAATGATGACAGTACCAAAGAAGGATGGGGGGATTGGGAGTCATGAAGCTCAAAAAGCAGAATGAAGCATTTTTGATGAAAAATCTTCACAAATTCTTCAACAAAGTGGAAACCCCTTGGGTGGCCTTGGTTTGAGAAGTTACCCCAATGGTAAATTACCAGGGTTACAAAAGAAAGGCAGTTTTTGGTGGAAAGCTAATATGAAGTTCTGGAAAAAAGAAAAAAAAGATATAACAGCTGTGCAGATTCATAATGGGCAATCGTCTTTCTTGCTTTGGGAGGATAATTGGATGGCTGGTCCAGTTCGTGCAGCAAAGCTGAAGTTCCCTGAGTCGTTCTCCTTTAGCAAAAGCAATAGTATCTCAGTCAGCCAGTGGCGGAGCTAGGAATTATACATAAGGAGGCCAATCAAAAAATTGATATACGAAGTGAGCATAACTCATCTGTTTAGGTTTTTCAAGGTGTATTTTTTCGCATTTTGAGCTTTGATTGTTATGACTAGTTAAGTACGGATTCAGTAAAATGTAAAACATAACGAAATGTAACTACACATTTGATAAAACCTAAAATTTCATTAAATGTATCCTAATATGACAGACAAAAAAAATAATCAAAATATTCTATTCTAATTGTATTTTATGTGATATTATTGTTCAAAAGATATCGAAAAATATATATGACAAGAACTTTTCGTTATATCTTGCTAATATAAATATAGATTATTAAATTATGTACCTAATTTTTTTTTGTTATGATGTTATGTGGACCATGGCCCCCCTGGCTCCGCCTCCTGGGTTCGATAAAAAAGGTGAGAGACGTCCACGAAGTACCTGTTGCAGCTGAATTTAGTTTGCTCCTATACTAATAAATGGACCGAGTATATGCTATTAATGCTCTCAGGCTCCTGGCCATGTGGCAAGCGGATCGGTGGGCATTGATCCAATGGCGACCTAAGCTAGCTTGCTAGCCGACCCGCCCACGTCATCGTTGCCCTTGCAAGATAGACCTAGCAAGATTTATAGAAAATGTGCCGGCTAAGTCCATGTGGTTTGGGTAGTGCAGAAGGTTCGCATGGAGCTACTCGTCCGTCACAGCACCCTCAAGTCCATGCCAGAGCAGGACGTACAACATCAATTATATTTCCATGCCAATGAATCATGCAGCAAGAGGATGGACACTAGTAGTGAAAAGAAAAGAGAGATAGTATGACTTGTCTACTAGAAGCACATGTCGTTTAGGCTGTGTTAGGTTTTTTGGATTTTGGAAGCTAAGAGGACCCACAAGTGTGAGATAAAGTTGTGCATCTTC